CATTCCATGGCCTTATCAATATATATATATGCATTGCTTGCCTCGGGACATCCGCAACTACATCTTACCTGCTTGAGGATTCCTTAATGGGAACTGCCTTACGACGCCAATGAAACCCCTTTGCCGCTGTCCTGTCCTCAGTCCCTGAACCCTAAACCCCAGACCCTCCAACTTTAACTGCTGAACCCTACACTGTAAGGCATAAACCTAACATCAAACCTAAAGGCCGGGCCACAGCGAAGCCCCAGCTGCCGGCCGAGGAAAGCAAACTGGCCCGCAAACAGATTCCTGAGAGTTTGCGAGATGTCTAAGGAGGGTTGAACGGGTTTGGGAGGCTAGAGGTTTTTAAGTTCTACAAGGTTCTGGGTTAAGAGCTGTAAAGTTTAGGGTTAAGGGTTGAAGGGTTGTGGCTTTACGATTACAATATACGCAAGCCTCATCCCTTTCATAACAAGACAACCATTTCCTCCTGCGACACGTGCTTCGAAGGTACTTGAGTTGAGCATTGTTGAAAGGATTCCATGGACCGCTGAAGCAGAAGGATGAAAAGGCGCTGTTGTTTTCATGAACCACAATCGCCTGAATTTTCCGCAGTGGAAGGAGCGGTGCTTTTGACTTGTGATGCGGCGGGAGTCGATGCTTCAGGATGGACTTCAAAAGCTATTTCCCTTTTCACGCCTCGCGGCTGAACATGCCTGCCTCTTAACAATACCACACGTTGCCGCAGCCACCGCCACCGCCACCGCCACCGTCACTCACCGCCACCGTCACTCACCGCCACCACGACCAGCTAAACCTTGTCAACATGACCCAGCTCATCATTGTCATCATGTAGGTACCGCCCGCACTCAGTAACAGTCTATAATAGGGGCAATACTAAGCTCAATATGTTCATATTGCGTATAGTTACTATCCAACTGTTACTAGGCGGGCGCAGAACCCAAGTGGTCATCATCATCATCAGCCCAATCCGTGCTAGCATGGTGCAGCTCGTCATCGCCATACCACAGGCGGTTTAGGGCTCAGGGTTTAGGGTCAATGAAAGACCCAGGGACTTTCTTAGTCTGCTGAAGTAACGAGGCTTCCATTCGGCCAAAGGCAATCCCCAAAAGCAAAACCCCTTGGACGGAAACATCGTGAGACCAAGGTCTCCATTGCTGCTCTCCCCTGTAGATCCCTTGAACTTCTAACATTATAATCCTAACAATTAAACGATTCTTAAGGGGATAGGTTCCGACGTTCAGACTCCAGGGAGGGCCCGTTTTGCTTGTGACCTCCTTGATGGACAAGGAGCTGCAGCACAGGGCCACTTGCCAAAGTGATCGCGTACCTTTAGTGCTGCTACTGCGTCTGGGGCTATACATAGTAACACTACAAACTGATATGCGGCCCCTTTTAATGGACTACATAGGGATTATGTACAGTAGGGGGGATGTGTGTTTACATGGGGATACGTAAGGATGTAGAGGAACCTGGCTATGGTGAGCTGCGCTAGGCTGCTGTGGAATATGCCCACGGCCTGTGTGGAGCACAAAAGGCGCCATGTTGCGCGAAACTATACACGAACAGAATGAAACAATGCCTCCAGCCAGACCTCGTCATAATGTAACTCGCGCAGTCAAGCAATTTCGGTTAAACAACTTAGCATGAGCCACGGGGTTTATGGCTGAATTCTGGGCAAAAATGTTGACTCAGCGCGGCCCAAAAGGAATCACAAAGATTGAGCGCTGAAGGCAACCAAGGAGCATTAGACCTACTGAAATCGATGAGTTGTTCAAATTGTCGATCATCGGCCGGATGAGCAGTGGAGACACGAAGGAAACACAAAGCTCGATTCCATGGAAGACGCCCATCAAAAGGATCTGAGCCTGCTCAGCACACTCAGCCGCTGCATGTAAAAGCCAGGATGTCCAGTGAGAAGATCTTGCAGTCCCTATAAAGTCCTCCGTGCTCGTTATCCACTACTCCATTACCTCTTGCACCCGCAGAAAAGTTGCTCTCGCTGACGTTTGCTTTGCTCAAAGCTGCCATCCCCTCACATATCCCCAAAGTAAGTAGCCAGGGTGACATGGGCTCTGAAGGGAAGCGTGCACATCTGAGAAACGGCAACAAGGACCCCATCCCGGCAACTCCAACGGCAAAGTGCACGCAACATCCTGGCACAATTTCTCCAAATATCTGTGACATTCACACATCTCCCACCAAAGGACCCAAACAAATAGTTAGCAACATGATGGCCCCAGCTCGGGAACTCTCCGAAATTCTACTCTTGGGGCGACACCCTGGACCCTGCAATGGCGCAGACACATTGCGTACAACATTGGCATGTACTTGGGGCTTCAAGGTTTGAGGTGTTAGGATTCTCACCACGGAACCCCAGATCCTCAACCCGAAACAATACCGTAACTTCCGTTTTCTTGTGCATGTTCTCGTTCGCTCCGTACCACCCTTGATATTCCTAGCAGGCTGGGCCTTGCACATCAACCACATCTCTGAGGCCTATAGGCTACCTATAGTCTATAGGGGATATATTGGCATAATGGAAAAGAAAATGGAAACTACATGGGTTTGTGAAGATTATATAGGGATTATATCAAACAGGCGCTTGGAAGGTCGGTCCAAAGCCGCTCAGCACAAGGCTTCACCACTCCCTTCCGCCTCATTAGTAGTTTCCATTTTCTTTTCCAGTATCCCAATATAAGCCAATATAACCCAATACAACCCAATATAACCCAATATAACCCAATATAACCCAATATAGCCCAATATTACTCAATATAGCCCAATATAACTACCACTCCCTTCCGCCTCATGATGACTCCCCTCGATATTGAGCAAGTCTGCTCTCAGGGGCAAATTTGCTAGTAGAGGGTTTGGGAGTTTGTTATGTTTGCATGCTCCTTTCAAAAGCTAGTCGTGCCTGAACATGATTTGCAGAGGATGCATCATAGCAGTACATTCTGTTGTGGGGGCATACTTCGTAGGAGGAAGGTGCAAAGCCCCATCCAGCAGGCACACATGTGCCTTCCTGCTAAAGGCCAAGCAAGGACTGAGGCGCTCAGCCTTAACAACAACAAAAATATTAATAGTGACAAAAAGATAACCGCACTAGTAATAACATTAATGAATAATAACAAGAACAATCTAACTTATTACAAAAAGAGAAGTAGCAAAGGGCCTTGTGAACATCCCACAAGCTCTTCAGAAATGGACGCTGCGCGTCGAGATTGCGCTCCCATGCAGCACCAATTGCACGGCCTGACTACGGCAGATTGACAGAAACATTTGTCGACACGGAAACATCAGTGCAAGGTCCCTGACCTGCAAATTTTTCTCCTTCAATCAAGAAAACTCAAAGAAGCAGATTCCTTTCAAAATACATTCCCGAGCAAAAAGAAAGCTTTGTGGCATCCCTGCGAGGTACTGCTCCTGGCAGGGATGTCTGCCACATCCAGCGTTGGGGCATCTGCTTCTGTGATCCGTCGGTCCTGACAATGGGAGACAAGGTGGACTGTCATTTGTTGTCTCTCCTTATGCTACTCTTTCCACTTGATGCTTGTGACACGTTTGAAAAGGCTACGCTCTGATCTCCGAGCTAATGCACAACACCCGGACACACCATTTTCAACACCGCAAAGGAGGATGCAGAACCACAACATAACTGCGAACACCTTTGTGTCACACAGCTCTCCTGACCCCGGCGTAGAACTTCCCCATAACGAACGAAGGCAGGATCGCGCAAGCTACTTTGTGCCATTGCGGCCAATGCTTGCGGAATCTGCTGGTGAAACCCAAGCTTTTACTGTTTTGCTATTGTTCCTTCTGTCTCTCTCTCTCTCTCTCTCTGAGAAACTCCTAGGGCACATCTGAGACGAAAAGGGAGGGGATGACGTTAGGAGTGTTTTTTCAAAGGAAAAGAGTTACAAATGTCACCTCTTCTGAGCATCTAGTGCTTTGACAAATGAAGGACTGTACTACGGTACCGTTGCGGTGCAACCTGTCTTTCACATATTTCTAGCTTGCCTGACGGCTTTCCATACGTTGATCTTTGACATGACTCATGACACAATCATGAAATCATGCGGAGGGCGGCAGGTGGCACATCAATTCAGTTCCTGGAACTTGCAAGTTCGAGCGACCCTCGTGTAATCTCTTAGTCTACACAATTACCCAAACACGCTGCCAGGTGCTACGAGGAAGCTGCTGCTGCCGACAATGAAACAACGACTTCATATGCAGTCACAAATGCGGTTTGTTGGCGAGTTCTCTTCGTGAGCAGTCATTCCTTCGTTCAGCTAGCTGCGCATCCAACATGGAATCTTGTCCAGTTGGTAACTGCTGTTGTCCACCTTGATGTTGACCAGAGATCCGTCTGCCTCTGCACTTAGGCTCGTAGATCAGTTGTCGGGACACCTTGCTCATGCAAGTTTCAGCATTTTCAACTGTTGCTTGATGAGGAGCTCCCTCTTGAAAAGGCTGTAACCATGGACCACAAGCTGCTGCTGGAGCTGGAGCTGCTGATTCCAGAGCACTGCGATCGCAGGTTGCGTTTGACATTGGAGTTTCTTGGGGTCTCCTCGGCATTCCACCACTTCCAAACCGAATTGGACTTCCACCACCCCCACCACTTGTTTGACCAGAACCTGAAACCACTCCTCTCTTGCTGCTGCAGTACATCTACCAGCACGCAATATAGAATGGTGTTGGAGGCAGCATCGAACACCATCATGTAGGGAAAAGCAACCACCACTGACACGATGCCTCCAACATTGGACCAGACACCCGGGTGGCCCACGTAGTAGCCCGAGAGGGGGTCACCATAGCCTTCAAGGCCTGGAAAGAAGCCTCCAACAGTCAGATATACGATGAAGTACCCCGCCCACCACACCAGGGCCCCACAAATCAACCTGGCTCTTGTCTACTTGGAGGTCATGGGCAGGTACTATGAACTTGCACCTGTACCTTCAATCCAATTACACGCCCTGCAGCAAGTCCACTAATATGGCAAAAATTGGAAGTAGGGAGCTATGAAAACAAAAGCCCTATGCCTTAGTACCCCGGTAGCATTCCCCAACTCAAGCCCTACAACCCTTGTGTTCACTGTCCTACTAACTAGCAGCCAGAAACTGGAAGATGAAGGTGGTGCCATTCAGGGAGCCCATCTCTGCTACCTGTAGGTTTCCCAAAACCAGGACTTAGGGGTTGTAGTCCCACTTAAGTAGATAGAATATGGGGTATATGATCTTGTTATAACATGCCCAAGGCCATATTCTATCTACCCAAGATGGACTACACTCTTTATGGCTTTAGGCTTCCCAAAACCACGGATCACATTTTCGAACTGCCATAATATATGGACTACATCAGGGTCATTGAAAGACTATGAAAAACCAACGGCCAACCAACGCACGCATGAAAGTCTAAGTGTGCTGAGTAAAGTTCTCAGTACCAAAACAAACTTGTAAGCGTTTATTTCTAGACACAGTTGTCCTACTCATAACTCATAAGTCTAGACATTCCTATCCACGAGCGTCCATCCGAAGGTTTAGAGTTGAGGGTGTCTCACAGTTTTGAGGTCTGTTTCCTGAAAACTTTACTGCTTGGCGTGCAGGGTGGCCGATAATTTTGAGAACAAGCACCTGGCGCTTGCTGTTCTTGCTGGCCAGTTTTCTGGCATCTCGGAGTGGCAGGGCAGACACAGCCACCTCGATGTATGCGTGAGAAGAGAACTTCTCAAAGTGCTGCTCGTAAATGTCCACAAAGCACTGACAGCAATAGTCGGTAGCATTTCCTAGGCGTCCGGTGGCATTTGTTGTCCTGTAGTACCAGCACCAATGCCGTGACATGACTTGAGGCCTCAAAACACGATTTAGAAAAGTATAGGGTTTTGCGCCCAGCCTTGAATTCAAGGTTTCCATAGCTCTGTGCGTACAACAAGTCCAGACATGTCATATGGACATGTAATACGGCACTTCTCAACCCAACTGGGCTCCCCTTGAAACACTGCCCAAAAAAAAACATGCATGTTTGTAAGCACCCCAGATAAGTACCAGTTCCAGTTTTGAGTGTCCGAAGGTAGTCTGCTTGGCCATCCGGGCAGCAGCTGTCAAAGTGCCCAGCAGGAAGCGGAAAGGGCGCAGGAACCCAATACTTACCTTACTTTGCAAAATGCACAGAGGATCCTTTCCCAGAGGCCTTACCCAAACTGCGCCAGAACAAAAAGATTCCGCTTGAAGGATCGTGCGCAGCCTGGCACAAAGCCTAACTCAGCCATCTGATTTGCAATTTGAAGCCCACCCGCCCGACTGTATATAGAGAAAGTCTTGCACTATCGTATAAGTGCAATAGTGACATTTTTGGTGATATCACGTTAAGTGGGGCAAGATTTTTCCAGCTAGCATGAATCAACCTTCAAGTGCTATTGGATCCTGGTCACGGCTGCTTTGACCATGGTTCCTTGCGTCAGGGCACGGAGCGCAGAGGTCAGGTTCTTAGAAGAACTTGTTTGCAGGTCCTTCTAGAAGGGATTACAGGAATCAGCGAGGGGGGGAGATAAAGGTTTAGAATCTTTGCATGGCCATACAATAGTGGATGGTGCAAGGTTCAGCCCGGGCATTCAGCGCCGCTCATTCCAAGATTGAGTAGGGGAAGAGCTAAACTACTAAACCAAACTTCAAACCCGAACCCTCCAGACAGCTCAGAGATGACGCGTTCTCCTCTGAGCCTACTGAAACTGACAGCAACATCCTTCAGAGGAATATCTCAGGCGAGCGCTTTGACAAAGCAGGATTACCAAAAACCCTACACACAGCACGAGGGCAAAGGCTCACCAGTGAAAATTCTATGCCTAGCAGCTGCGGATGCATGCAGCGCTGTGAGTTCGATGGGTTAGACGGCTGTGTTCCAGGGTGATACTGAAAATTTCAGCATCCTGGCTCCTGTAGAAACTGCAGATCTTACGAATTGCAGCATTTTAGGTTGTGTAGAGGCTGCAACATTGCAAATCACAGCATTCGCAGCATGACAAACACACTGAGACGAAGAGGAAATCTTCTTCGCAACCATTGGCATTCTGGTGCATGATATCCGTCAAGAAAAAAACAACGGCACCCATGCCAATCTGTTTGCTAGCAAAAGCTCGCCGGTCAGGTCAGTCCTTCCAAGAAATATTCCCTATCATCATTACTTTCAATCAAGTTCTCCTTGCCCGTTGGTGCATATTTCCGAGGCGCGTTGATGTTTATGTGACGCCGCTCAACACTCAGACCATGAGGAAAACTCAATCCACAATCCAAATCTATCCGAATGCTGCACACACGCGGAAGGTCTCATCTTCTGAGCAAAATCAATGACCTACGGTTCGCTTGAGGGTCGCCGAAGCAACCAAGACTCGAAGAGTTTCAAGAGAGGTCGTCACAGATTCACGCCGGACCGTTACAGCTTCAACCAAAAGCATCCAGCAGGCTACAAAGAATAATTCGCATTGATGTTCATGATTTTCCCCGCGACAGAGCTCTGTCAAGACAAGATCCTTTCAACCCCCTCAGACTCTAAGCAAGTTTCAAGCGGAATCAGCCAGCTTTTTGGCCAAGACGCCTAGATGGTATCGGCAAAGTACGAAAACAAAGTGCGATGACCTCCCGCAGAGCTGATGTTCGACACTCCATGCTAGGTGGCTGCAGGACGCTGCAGAGAGGGTAGCTTGTTGCCAAAGCTTATGCAGCTATTCTTGCTCGCTAGTGAACTCACATCGCAAGCATCTTCAAGCCCAGTTCAAGCCTCTTCCAGGGGTGCGGTTCGTGGTCTGCAATGTACCTGGATCAAGGTCACAAGCTCCGCTGTCATGCGAAAGATAAGCAATACGAAGCAACCAGGGGGCGGGGGTTTCAAGCTCAGAACGCATGCCGAATCTGAGGAACGCTTGGAATGTGAAACATCATGAAATTCGCGTACATTGAAGAACGCCAGGCACCAAGAGGAACTCAAGTAGGCAACTCCGAACTCCCACGACGCGGTGATGATGCTGTCCATCCAAAAGAACCTGGGCTTCACTCAGGAGCACGCTCCCAAAGATCTCGCAGGTGACTCGAACAAGTATTTTCCAGTACTGGTGACCGTGCATTCGTCTGGCTAATCCTAAACGGCTTGCCCGGATGTGTTTGCTGAAACTGTGATGTGGTGTGAGATCACAGGATGCTTGCAGCTGTGAAGCATTGCGAGCCAGAACATAACAAACATCAAATTGGCCGGACAGGTTTCCTCTCCCTCATCACCGCAGTCGAAGCTTAGTCTGTGCTGGCGGTGGTTGTAAAAGATACCTTCACAAACGCAAACGGCTCGGGGTAAAACACAGCGTCATGTGGACAAGAAAACCTCTTGTCATGTTCTCCCACCTGCTGGAGAAACCAGCAAACAGAACAGCATCGCCGTGGTTGTGCAGAGCCTCGCAATCAACAAGCTTCCGAGACACACTCTGCCTTCTTTCCAAGAAACACTCCCGCATAACAAGCTGTCAAAAACAGTAGCCTGTTGTTGCCACGCAGGGCTCTTTGCACAGCAGCAAACGTCAAGTGAACGACTCATGCAGAAAATCAAGGGAACTTGTTGTGGCTACCAGTGGGAAATTCTCCAAGAGTGTATTGCAACCAGTTTCACACAATCTCCGTGACCATTTTTCAAAAAAACTATGTCCACCTCATGATCAGCACGATGGCTGGCCCCAGCGAGACCAATGGCGAGGAAACAACAACATCACCTGGGCTATGTGTGTGCTCCCGAGCACAACCTTGCAATAATGGCGAGGTATGGTTGGGTGCTACAGTATTTACAGGCTTGACAATGGGCGATTATTCCATTGTCCCTCTGTTTGAGAAAAAAACATGTCAACAGAACTAAGCCCTACATGACTGCTAGAATGCCGACCTGAATTGGGACCGACGCTACGGCATCAGAACAACTGGCCGCATGCACTCAGTAGAGGCTTCGGCTTTCACCTCGCATGCATTGCATTGCTGCCCGCGCAAGTATTCACCGAAATAAATAAACAAGCCGCGAATCAAGTTCGCCTTTTCTTACCAGAGCGCGAGAAAGCGCGTGCGTTCAGAATCATCATTGCAACAAACTTTGTAGAATGACGTCAAAACATTGTTGGAAATACTAACCTCTGATGTTTCTACACTGCTTGGTCGGCCGTGAAAACAGGAACTGCTTATGACATCCCCAAGTGGCAAGCAAACTCGATGCAGCGGGCTGCGCCCTCAAGTTTTGTAGAGTGAACGCGAGCCAGACACACCAAAAAGATGCCTCAGTGTCACTGTCTCGCATTAAGGTTTCTGCAGACTGCAGGGTATACGCTGCTTTGGCCCTCGGCAAGCTGAGTAAAATGTCTCACTGCGGGGTTTTCATGCCGCATAACCGTCATGAGCGCACATAATGGACGGGATCTTCAGGTCCCTACATGCCAAAATGTCCTGTTTGCTACCAAAATGCCTACCAACACCAAAGCCACGCTGAACACAACTACGCCCATCCCATAGCGGACATACAGGACGACAGCCCACACCCACCTTGGATTGTTGGGAGAGCTGAGCAAATCCAACTCCATTTCCGGGGGGAGGTTTACAGATACCAACGTACTAGGCATTGTACCTTTTTAACGCACATTGGTTACTCCAGCTACATCCCAAACCCTACACCCAACATGTCCCTATGTATATCTACATAACCCAAATCCCCCCCCTCCACGCAACAATGACCAACCACATTACAATACCACGTATGAGCTACAGTCAATATTTCCATATGTGTAATGGACATGGATGGACATGAGCTCCTTCTTGGGTATTGTATTGCGGACTTTTGCTTAACTACCCCAGGGACCCCTACATCCACCCTTAATGGATTTTATGTAGCCCGAGTAGCTCATACGCTAAGGGGAAGAGTGATTACAGGATGGCGGGGGGGGTGTTATTGTCAACCTTTAGCCGTTCCATTCTCCACTACACCCTTTGCATATGATAGATAAAATAAACACGTAAGTTGACGTGTTTTTTGCCTGATTTCTTCTTGGGTTGACCCTGAACCCTAAATTTTTTGAAGGGTACCCCAGGACCTACTCCTATGAGGTTGAGGAGGCTTGTTACCCTGAAAATGGGAAATCAAATAGGAAAGGATGAAAAATCTTACAACAAGTTCCTTGATGCCCAAATACGGTGTCCAAAAATTGCGTCCGCTTTTGGGCCAGAAAAACACATGTGCCCTGCATGTACAAACATGTCCGCCTGCAAGCCAAGCCTCGGGACCAGCACTATTATGTTGACGCCAATCGTTGACAGCGCCGCGGCATGCTTTTTCAGAATCCAAAGATACGAATACGCGATGAGAATTCCAGTAAGCGCTGCCAGCAAGAGGGGTATACAGAGTCGTCTCAGGACCACGTAAATGCGGACTTCTTCAGCTTCCCGGGCATGGTATGCAAACAATTGGTTGGCTAATTCCATTGATTGTGGCGCGCACAGATTGCTTAAAAACAGCGGCATGGTCTCAGTGGGGTAGTCACGAACTTCGGCATCCACCCCCAATTGATGGTTGTAGCACCGATGCTCCGTTCGATTTGACATGGGACAAGATCTCAAGCAAACTGCAAATGCAGTCTGAAACTCACCATTGTCGATGGAGCATACGTATGCGAAAGGTGCGTCTCGGGCACCAGACGCTCCGCAAACCCTGCCGCTGTAATCTGAAAGTCTGAGCAAAGGAGTCACACTGCGGTGCCACAAACAAACCACGAGCAATGCACACAGCAGCATTATGAAACTTACCAACCATGGCAGGTCCGTGCATCGGCGGGGCACATCTTCAGGGTGTGTCCATATCCGATTGATATCTTCTGGATGTATATCCAACCCATCAGAGTCATCATCATCATCAGTGCCCTCGCGCGTTGGCAGCAGCCATGACAACATGGCACAAAGATCCTAAAAACAATTACGAAAATGCAGAATGCGGGCTGTGCGACATGGAACATAAGAACCACTCGTACAAGATAGTGGGAACTTTCATTCACCCGTTGTACCGCAATGAGGCGAAGGTTTCAACAAGTTTTCGGCTTGGCAAAATGGAGCTGGCCATGCAATCATCACTATCTGCAAGCACG